GGAAGTCAAGCTGTCATTACAGGACCTCAACCGTCTAAAACCAAAAAATTGATTTGGGAAAAAATGTTTATTTTCAAGGAACCACTGAACTCTGTTATTAATTATTCTCTCCAGTATTTTTTGAATGCAAGAAGATAAGGCTATCGGCCTATATCCTCTATTATTTGGCTTAGGGATTAAAACTACTAATTGACGTTTCCAATCATTTGGGACTTCACCTTTGTTGATTATCATATTTAATAATTTCGTAAGTAATTCTATCGATTTATCTGGAAGTTGTTTAATAACTTTATACGAAATTAAATCATCTCCTGGGGCAGAATGAGATTTTGCATGAGAGATAGCAGCTATAACTTCTTCTTTTTCAATTTTTTTATCTACCATATTATTTTCTCCTAAATTATCATCTTCAATAACAATATTCTCCGGTATAATTTCCGGTGCTACCTTATTTATAGTTTCAGTTATTTTCGTATCTTCCGGAGAGTTATTCTGTCTATTTGTATCATTCAATTTTCTATTTTTAAAAGCTTTAATATATTTCCATATTTTATCGATCGCCATATCAGGATTCAGAGTATCACAGAATATGATAAAAGCTTTTCTTTTCGTACGAAAAATATTTTTCCTAGATTCTTTACATGATTTTTCATAGACTTGATAATTTTGTTCATTGAAATTGTTAAAGAGATTTTTTAACTTTACTTTACGAGATTCAACGTGATCTGTACAAGATTGATTCCACCAATGGGCGGCTGGATATTTCCTTGGTCTGAATGAATTATCTATTATTTTACCGCCCGCTTCCTCTAAACTTTTAACAATACTTTTAATCAAGTCATCATAAGTTTTAAGGAAATTATCTTCCTCCACCTCTAGCATCTCATCATTTAATTTTTTTTCTAATTTTTTTCTAAAAATTTTCCAATCTACTCCGTTAATAGAGATTCTCGGTCTATCAATCTGTCTCTGAAATTTTCCAAGACTGAAAACAACATTGATTGGAAAGTGATCACTACCCACCGTGTCCATCTCCGTATACCATTGTGCAACCAGTTTTAATTCAGGTGAACACAAAGACAAATCTGGACAACTAATTTTTCCATCAAGATTTAATCTCGTTCTTTCCCCCGTGTTCAAAATTATCAACTCATTCTCAAGGATTGATTCATATATCCAGTCACCTTCCGGGTTTGATAACTCGCTCCCCCACTCCTCAGAGTGGACTTTTAAATCTCCACACAGAAACATTATTCAAGGTTGTTTTTGTAAAATCAAAAAACTTTTTCCAGTCTTCAGCTCTAATATAAGCATTTGGCGAACGATAAAAGTTATGGATTTCAATTTTTTTTTCATTCCACTCAATTTCTATCCCTATCCATTCAACTCCATCTGGAAATTTGAGATTCAGAATCCTCTTGTAAGTTAAATATGATCTAATATAAATGATACTTCCTCCTCCATGAACATTTTTTGGCTGATTATATGTAACGCAAAAAAATCCATTAATATCCCGATTTATATCATCTTTTAAAAAAGTCTCATTAAGACAAATAACATCATATTTGTCCACCATCCCTAAAAATTCCCCCTTTTATTTAAAACACTCCGACAGTTCCATTGCAAAATTTTCAACTCCTCCATTAAGCTAACTCTTTGTAACGGTCCTCCGCCGATTGAATAGCATTGAAAATATTTTCCTCATTTCCAACTATTTCCTTCAATATCTGGGAAATTTCTTTATCTCAACCAAGAAGGTACGTTTCAAATCCAACAAAACATGACCTTGAGGGATTTCCTGTCTCGTTGTTCCTACTGTAGTACCGGTCGACGATGAGCCTTCTGATCCCCCACTTCAATCTAAATTGTGGATTATTTCGATATCTGTGTTCCCCTGTAAATTATCAGAATTTCTGTTGTAGTTGCATACTAATTCTTTTGCCTCCTTATAACAAATTCGTTTCTCCACTTTTACCTTATTAATCGTTCTCTCCTTTAAGTACTGGGGGCATATCATCGAAAGAGAATCATGGTGAGATGATTGACAATGAATACAGTGTAGATAATCATTGGGACATTTCTCAGCATTATGATTACTTGAAGATTTACTACATCTTATAACCCCTTACAGACATGTTGATTATGACCAAGTTGAAGGCATTTAAAACACCTTTTGACTTTAGGATAAAAGGGCCTGACTCTTTTTTCTACATTATCAATTATAATTGAATTAGGGAGAAAAGTACCATGGACATAAATTTTAACCATTTGTGTCGGAATGAACGATAGCTTACCATCTCCAGATTTGTCTACGTCTGGGTTTCTTTTATTAATTCTCTCAACAGCATAAACTTTTGTACATGAGTCTGAACGACAGACCGTCTCGAGAATGTCTTTGTCCCTGATGTCAACAGGGATATCCCAAATGACCCCCACCGACTTAACGGTATTATCCGGAATAATCGCTACCTAATTCTTGTTTACCTTTCTCACCTCAGATTCCACCAAATTATTTGCTGCCTCGGCAGAACCACAACAAAGCATAAACTTTTTGTTATCGATTTTCTTAACTTTCTGAATAAACTGACTTAAAGGTCTAAGATCTTTGGCTACCGACATTTCGTGTAAGCTTCCTAAATGTTTTTCTCTATCTTGATCAAAAATGTACACAACAAAAGGACCTACAGCATTTTTATCGTATCTATTTTTTCTCATCCCCAAGTAATAATCATGTAAATTGAATTCATTCTCTTCTCCTTCCTGCATCTCCTCAAAATCTTGTCTAGGTTTTTTGCCATCAACCTGTTTTAAATTCATTTGCCTTTTAGTAGCTATTTTACTCTCCATTTTTCAATAGGAATAATCATTAGTTCTCCCAAATGAATAAGATTCCCCAGAACGATTTAAACATATAACATTTAGATGATAACATATAAAATAACACACCTGGAGTCTTCTTGTAGAATTCTCTTTAAACTGACTTGAATCTATTTTTATTTTATGCTTTCTATCGTATTCTCTATTTTAAATGTTCCAATCGAAAGTCGTTAATTCAAATCTAGGACTAATCAGGACACTTGTTGACTGTACGGCTACTCAAGGTAGACTCCCAATTTTAGAACTTGTGCATCTCGTCTCACTATCTCCACTCCCCCCCGCCCTCCCCGTTTAAAACCATACTGAAATATCACAATCAAAGACATTTTACGACCTGTATATTCAACATCTATATTATCCCCTGGGCTATTCTACTCGGTCAACCTTAGATGTTTTTAAGGCATAAATTACATGATGCATAATTATATATACATTTTGCACGCAATTACAACTGGCCTCCGCTACATCAAACAGACGTAGTCGCCTCCGATTTTTGAAAAATTTTCGGTCCCCCGCTCGAAAAACATACTCCTTCCGGGTTAAATCCCTCTGGGTTTTAACATCGCGAAATGTGTGTGGTGTGCGTGGCGTCCTGAACTCCAGAATTGTGGAATCGCCCATTTCAAAAAGTTGGGTTAAACCCAGAGGTACCTAGTCGCCTCCGATTTGACGCAGTGGCCTCTGAGAGAAAAGGCGAGTAGGATAGCCACATGTAGTGTATATGGAGGCGTATATGTACGCTGTGCATATTTATATAAATCGAACCCTATTTTTCATCACAGAGTGCTCAAAGCTATGTTTTGCGCACGCAAAGCGTGCGTAAAACGTTGCTTTACGCACTAGTGATGAAAAAGTATTTTCCGGTTTCCGCCATTGGGGATGGAGGGATGGAGGGTTCGTCTAGTTCCCCAGCACGTAAGATACGGAGAACGTGCATGGCAGTGCAACTGCCGGGACTTTCCAACTGTCAACCTTTCTCTTCACAATTAAGATACGGAGAAAAATCAACCTTGATTTGAAGAGATCAATTTTTTTATTGAGAAATTTTATACTTTATTTTTACTAGTATCGGTGCATACTTTATTTTCACTAGTACAGTTGTTCATCCCGCCCTATACTAAACGCCACAAAAGAATGATCTTCGGGTTGATCCGAAGTATCCCTACAACTCCTCATTTGTATCTTCTCACATATGGAAGAATTCGTAATAAAAGTCGAAGACCAGTCTCTTGTGGCCAGGATTATAGCATATGGATATGATGATCCTACGTGCTCTTCTGATTAAACTTTCCCGCCGCATTTTTTTAAACTTTCTCACCGATTCCTAATTAATTTTTGTGCATTGCGTTCATTCCCTAGATGAACCCAGTGAAATTGCGGCAAATGGTGCCAATTATGCTGTTGACGAGGATGGAGGTATCACGAAACTGTTTGAAACTCTGGATGACAANACTCCTCATTTGTATCTTCTCACATATGGAAGAATTCGTAATAAAAGTCGAAGACCAGTCTCTTGTGGCCAGGATTATAGCATATGGATATGATGATCCTACGTGCTCTTCTGATTAAACTTTCCCGCCGCATTTTTTTAAACTTTCTCACCGATTCCTAATTAATTTTTGTGCATTGCGTTCATTCCCTAGATAAACCCAGTGAAATTGCGGCAAATGGTGCCAATTATGCTGTTGACGAGGATGAAGATATCACGAAACTGTTTGAAACTCTGGACGACAGTATACGTAGGGACAAAAACTATGCAGTTAAATTGGCACCCTCAGGAGCCAAATGCCGGATCATGAACCCAGATATTACGGCGATTTTGGATAGAGCCAAACTTAGCGATCGGGATGGCGCACGTGTATTAGCCGGCACTCTGAGTTCCGCCAACGTAAATCTCGATGATGTCTATTTGAGCCGTGAAACAATCCGCCGGAATCGGCGGCAACATCGAGAAACGTTGAATGACATGATTCGAGAAAATTCGAAAAAGGCATCTTCCGATATCGATATCTTTTTTACTCACTGGGACGGAAAATCACAACCTTCACCAGAAAATAAATTTGAAAGGATCGATGTACTTCCAGTTCTGCTCTCAGGTCCTCAGCAGTGGCATCAATTGCTTGGTGTTGGTAGACTCAAGAGAGGCACCGGAGAAGCACAAGCGCAGGCAGTTTATAACTATTTGAAGGAATGGGACGTTGCTGACGATGTATGCGGCATTGTGTTCCATATGACAGCAAGTAATACCGGCGGTGTAAATGGTTCATGTGTTTTGCTCGAGAAACTTCTTGAGAGGAATCTTTTGTATCTGGCGTGCCGTCATCATGTTCTCGAACTTCTCCTTAAAACGGCTTTTGAATCATCAATGGGGTGCACTTCAGGGCCTGACGTTCAAATTTTCAAAAGATTCCAAGGACACTGGGCCAGCGTGGACGAACGAAAATTTTCACCCGGAGTCCACGATGATATAGTGAAGGGAGCACTGCGTCGTGATATATAAAATATCCTTGCCTTTTCTGAGATACAATTTCAGGTTAGTTATAACGTATTTTATTTATATGAATATGAATTATCTATATTTTTCATTTTCATAACCATCCAAGTGCAAGTTTCACGAGTAATTACATAAAATTGTATTTATTTGTTCCCTTTACAGAATAAACCTAACCGGACGGACTACAGGGAATTTCTGGAACTAGTAATAATATTCCTGGGTGGAAATCTGACGGGAGGGAACCGCTTTCGCGCTTTGGGTCCAATTCATCACGCCAGGTGGATGTCCAAAGCCATTTACTCGCTCAAAATTTATCTATTCAGAGACCAATTCCATTTGACGTCCCGAGAAGAATCAGGTTTGAGGGATACTTGCGTTTTTATCGTTCTTCTGTATCAAAGAGCTTCGTTTACTGCTTCAAATCCAGTAGCAGCTCCAAATAACGATTTGATCCTTCTAAAACAGTTAGCAGCTAACGCTAGTGGTTCTGGATGTATCTCCTCGAAAATGTGCAAGGCTGTATTTGAAAAATTTGTGAACCACCTTTGGTACTTGTCGGAGGAACTGATTGCTTTCGCTTTCTTCGATGAAAACGTAAGTGTCGAGTGCAAACGAAAGATGTGCCAGGCCATCAAATCTCGTTCTGCGCTCAATCATGATAGAAAGAGGTGGGAAACTGGGGTTAAGAACCCGGAATTGGTCCAAGAGTCGAGCTTAGATTCATTTGTTACGAAAAATACGATGAAATTTTTTGAAATATTAAGAATCGATACAAGTTTTTTGGACACTGACCTAGCCACGTGGGAGATGAGAGATGATTTTGCGAAAACTTCAAAAATTCTCAAATCTCTTCATGTCACAAAGGATATCGCTGAAAGAGTCGTGTCTCTCGCAAGCGAATATCATAATGTGCTCACAAAAGATGAAGAAGGCAAAGAAAATATAATGCGCGTTGTGCAATTAGTACGCGAGGCGTCATCAAATTGCACAAGAGAAGATTTGAAGTTTTCATTGCAAAATTATTTGAATAATCAATCAACAGAAACTTCAGGCAGTGTAGATTAGGATATTACGATTAGTGTTATTTTGATCATTTTTATAAGACTGGTTATTTCCCCTCGCAAAACCTGTGGTCTCTGCTGCCTCCACGAACCTGACTCCCTAACCCATTTCCTCCTGCGGTGTCCCACCACTCAACTTCCTCGCATTGATTTCCTTCGCAGAACCAATACAACCTTTGATGATCTGAATGAGAATGTACTGTTAGACCTAGTCTGCTGTTGTGATTGGAAATCTCTGAAATTGTTCTGTTATTTTGTCGCGAACTGTATGAGAGTGAGAACCTGATTTATTTACTTTGTATGATTTATCGCTTGTAATTTATGTACCCTGAGAACGCTGTATTGAGTGCGACTACTCTCCTATGACTGTTACCGAGTTTTTCCTGAGTTTTACTATGCTCTAATGTACACCATTGCACACCTAAGTTTTAATTTTTTAATTTTCTTTTACTTTTTCATTGTTTACTTGGCAGCTATTTTTTTTACTTGGTTTTTATTCATTAACAAACATTATTTACATATTTACATAACTTAAAAACTAGAATTGAAAAACTTATATGTAAAATATTTTCATACGATTTCGTAAACTTATGGTCCATTAGTGACTCTCAGGTTTAATTTTGTATTTGTAAATTTGATTTCATAATAACATAATATTTTTTGGAATGCAATTAACAATGCTATTGATAAATGAATGTGTACACATACTAATGTGCCTAAAAAAAAAGGAAAATTTTTTTAGATTTTGCTGTAATTGAAAAAAAAAGGCACGACAGGGTATCCGCAGTAGAAGGGATGATTAATGTAATTTTTTTTTCAAAAAATTACCTATTGTGAAACTTTTAATAGAAGAAACACTTACAAATATGTAAATTCTTGGTATAAAGCAACTGTATAATAAAGTAAATAAATTAGACTGTATTTATAATTTTGTAATTGTTTTCGCAATCACAGTCTGCGTATTGATTATTAATAATAATATAGTTATGAAAATATTCAAGGAGGACGGAAATTATTCCTATGATATCTATTTCTTTGATAATGCTTATTTTTATTTTTATTTAGCTATTTGTAAATTGTTTGACGAGCAGTGAGCTCTCTAATAAATCTATCATCGGCATCTAGCCACCAATAATTTTTGTTTACTCTATCAAAGTTATCAATATCTACTCTTGGAATAACTCTCGAATAAACAAATGGTTTAGACTCAAGATCATCTAAAGGAATTTTTTGGACTTCTTGTGTCTTTTAATATGGAATAAAATGGGCCTGTTCCATTCATCTTGGAACAGGCCCATCCTATGGTACTGAATGAAATATTGGGGTTTGATGTCATTGCATCTGGCCCGTTCGATTGCCTCCTCCACTGGGAATTCAGTTGAAGCATTTATAGTATCGTTTTTGATGTTTTTAATTTTATTATAATAATTCCTGGCCAATCGAAGGATAATGTTATCTATCCTCGGAATTTCCGCTCTATCATATAGCGCTTTGTTACTCACATTACGCTGATAATCGGAGTGTGGAGATCTGTACATGAAAAGGCAAGCTCTTAGATATTTTCTCTCGAATAATCTCAATCGTTCCATCTGGTGAGCACCCATATTCCATATAATTTCACAGCCATATGTCAGTAAAGGTCTGATGAGTAATAGATAGCAAATGATTCTTGCTCTTTTGTTGATAAATTTATTATGGAATAAAAAGCCAAGAGATTTATACCGATTTCTGGCTTTTTCTATTTGGATATCAGAGTGTTTAGAACAACGAACTAAGTAATCTATGTGTACACCAAGGTACTTAACAATTTCCTTATTAGGGATAATAGTTTTCGTATTGATATCTGGATTTTTGATTTTAATCTCGAATTGATTTATACTACGACTTTTCTTTCCCGACATATGACAGCGAGTTGTTCTAAATAAAATAGTTTCGCTTTTCAGCGGATTAACTCTAAGATTCCAAGCAGAATATAGATTATTGACCTTATTCGTCAGAATATTAAGTCTATCCGAGATCTCCTTTCCATTGTCTCCTGCTACATAAATAATGCGATCATCAGCGTAGGCTATTGAGTAAGTCTCATTATTATTATTGAGATCAAAAGCATCAATCATATGAGCGGTAAATATTGAGAAGAGACAAGGCGAGTTGATCGTACCTTGTTGCAAACCTTCTTTAATATAAAAAATTGAGCTCATCAAATTATTATGATTCAAGACTCTAAAGTTTTTGTCGTGGATCATATTCCAAATTGTCCTTACTATAGGGAGTGGAAATTTGTTTTTTATTAAAATAAAAATTAAGCCGTTTAGCCAGACAGAGTCAAATGCTTTTTCAAGGTCCAAAAGGACCGCTCCAACCATTTTGCATTGAAAAATATTCTCTTCTATATCACTTAATAGTTTATTGACTGCGTGTATCGTCGAGTGATGGTGCCTGAAACCGTATTGATTATCAGGAATTATTTTGTTTTCTTTCTCGTACGATAAGATAGAGTTATTTATTATGGCTTCATAGATTTTGCTTAATGATGGAGTCATACTGATCGGTCTGTAGCTTGCAGGATCAGACAAACTTTTATCTTTTTTATGTATTGGAATTACAAGAGCTGTTTTCCATTGAGTAGGGAAGTAGTAATTGTTCAAACAATTATTGAAGATCTTTACTAGATCCAAAATCATTAATTTAGGAAGATGTTTAATAATTATTGGGGGGATTTTATCCAAACCGCTAGATATTTTATTAGGTAAGTATTTTAGAATTGATTTTACCGTAGAGGCGTCGGTAAAGTAGTTATCAATAGGAGAGTTTAAACAAGCTTTTGTAGCTATGTTATTAATATCAAATTTAGTGAGAGTGCGTTGATTATTTATCTCATTGAGCATTTCGGATTTGAAAGTTTCGATTTTCGTATCAATTAGTTCTTTTAGTCTTGAGTTTTCGTTTAAATAGCGTGGGGAATTAACTCTTTGATAATGAGCTCCCAATACATTAATCAAATCTGATTCCTCACTGACAACAAATTCATTATTGTCGATGGGAATTCGGCCGATATCACAGTGAGCCTCGTTTAAAAGGGAATCATAATTTGATTTAATTCTCAATTCATTAATAATTTGTTTTTTTTTTGGTCTAAAAATATTATTTATAGTAGGCATAAATTTTTCAGTGTTTCTGAAATCAATTTGTTTATATATATTTTGCCAATGTTTTTCAACTGCCGTGCTGAATGCAGAGTTGAGTTTTTTTTTTTACAACTTTTTAATAAATTGTGAATATTTTGAGTTTCAGGCTTTAATTTTTTCAGATCTTTTTTCAGACATTTATTGTAAATAGTTAACAATTTGGATTTAGTTCTTGTAATTTATTGATTTTAGCGTTGGAATATTTATAAATATTTCCTTTTGGTTTACATTTAGGAATTTGTGTTTCAATTGATTTGATGATGTAATTAGAAAAATCTTCAATGTATTGATCGATTTCTTGATTGGATAAGTTTTTATCATCAGGAATTTTTATTTCGTAATTATCATGTAAGTATTTGGAATATAAGTTCCAGTTGGTTTGTTTATATAGATAAAAATTATTTTCAAGATTATTATCGATGTATATACTCAAAGAGTAATCCAATTGAATAGAAACAATTAGAGCCTTGTGATCACTATCAAAAATGTGAGTTCGTATTTTGTTATCTATTAGATTATCGATGTTCAATCTCGAATCAATTAGAACTAAGTCTAGAAAGGATTGTGAATGTATAAATGTGCAATCTATTGGGGGTATTATATTTAATTTGAATTTATGTTCATTTTCTAGCTCCCAGTGGTGTAGGTGTCGACCTCTATCGTTACGACAAGAATCTCCATACGATTGGTGTCTAGCGTTTAAATCTCCCATAATAATGTAGAAGACGTCGTCATCAAATAATTTTAATTCGTTAAATAGAGTGTTTAATTCATCGTGAAAAATGTTACCGCGATTATAAGCATTCGTAGCATAGATGCCGATGATAAATAATGTTTTGGAGTTTAATGTTTTTATTTTAATGATTGTGTACTCCAATATTAAATTGTTGAGAGAACTCGGGTAGTTAATCGTTGTGTATTTTATATCATTGCGAATAATTATTGCGGTTCCTCCTGAGAATTTAGATTTATTCCTATCATTTCTAATCAAATTGTAGTTATCAAATTTTATGTTGTGATTTTTATTCAGTTTTGTCTCACAAATTAGAGCAACATCGATATTATTTTTATCTAGGAATGATTGTAGATAATATCGTCTTTGTTGTCGAACAATTGAATTAACATTAATTGAGATCATGTTTAGGCCCTGTATTATTAATGAGTTATCTGTATCATCGTTATTGGAGGTAGAATTAATTCTCGTCGATGCTATTGAGACCAAGGTGTTTAAGAATTAATTCAATGTTTTTTTGGTTTATCTCCACTTGTTTTGTGACTTGATTTAGATTATTTGTAATTGCAGAGACAATATCATTTTGAAGTCGAGACGCCCAAGCGGGGGGGGACTCCTCAATAACAACGGGGTGTCTTAATCGATTATTATCATTACTGTAAGTTTTATCTGCTTGTTGCTTTTTCTTCTGTGATTGAATCTTATTTTGTTCATTCATTTGAGACTCCAAGCGTTTTTTGACTTTAACTGTATCCGCAAATGAGATACCAGGAGTGATTCTATTGTTAATTAATTGGATTTTATCATTTTGTTTCTTTTTCGATTTCTGAAGATTCTCTTCAATAAATCCAAACGCGCTTTTGTAATATGGGCAACCCTTATAATTAGCTGGTGGTCCATTTAGTTTTCAATTAGCACACTTTAATAAGTTTCTATCGGAATCTTTGGAAAGAGTACATTCACCGGGTTTGTGATTATTGCTACATTTAACACAACGAAAAGTCAAAGAACAATTAGCACTCGAGTGACCTAGTCTCTGACATTTCTTGCATTGGAAAAGACTATCCATTCTAAGGGGTTCCCAACGCACCCTTTGATAAAGGAGTACTTTTAATTTAGTTAACTCAGCTAAGATCGAGTTACTAGTTGCTTGAATTAGATATCCAAAATAATTTGTTTTTTTATTGAATACTATTTTTGTAACTTTTAAAATTTCTACATCTTTTAAATTTAATTCTTTGAGTTCATTTAAAATTTCAGCATCGCTAAAATCTCCGAATAATCCCTTCATTACTACAGTCTTCAATTTCTCATTTTTAGGAGTATACGTGTAGTATTCTATTTTTTCTTTTTTGAGTAAGTCTTTAAACGTATTAAAAGTCAAAATATCTTTCGGGTGAATTGTTACGTAAGATGAATCTCTTGGCTGATTTAGGTGAAATTTATTCTTTACCTCGTCGCCCAAGTTGAGTAGAAGTGTTGCCAATTCCTTCAAGGACTTTCCAATAGTATGGATGGGGGGAGGTCTGTGTCCGCTTGCATTTTGTGTGGTTTGTTGACTTCGGGTGCCCGTTGAAATGACCTGAGGTTCTGTCTCGCTCTCGCTGTCGACTTCGTCCATCTCCAGTGCTCTGTATCTGTTGCTGTCCCCAGTGTACGGGGAGAGAGGTCTGCTTTTGTTGTGGGTTTTCGGTGATGTTTTCCTTCTCGAAGGTAAATTCCAGGTATCTGAGTTTTCGGTATCTGAGTGAGTGTTCTCCGGATCCGTTATAATATTCTCTGAATCGATGATTAAATTTTGAGAATTGTCAGTAGATTCAGTACTCATTTTTCTAGTTTGTGATGTACTAGGATTTTGAGATGATGTATTAGGATTTTGAAGTTTTTGCTTTCCATAAAGTGCTTTAACTTCATTAAATTCTTTAAGTAGACGTGCATCGGTAATATTTGGTTTGCTTAGCTTGCCAGGGTGTCCAGGTGTAGAATTTGAGTTCCCATTAGTATTTT